TCTCAATTACAAAAAAATACTTTATGCTTATTAGAAATGATGGATTTATCTAACAACAGGCCATTGCTCAACTACATCAATCTCAGTTATTACTTTTCCTGAAGCAATTAGTCTACATGGAGCTACAGGTACATAAGTTAGAAAATAATGACTAGCTGTAAATGTGGCTTCTTTGGTAAAAGTTGATAGGTTCTACACAGGAAAGGCTGGAAAAGGTGTTTGGCTGAAGCCTACTACATCTAAAAAGTATCACCTATCTGGTAGATGAAGATGGCTACAAAAGGGACAACTAACTAATATAGGATTAAAAATACTTAAAAATTTCAAGTTGCAGAATTATTTTGGCTTCCATTTTAAATGGAAGAAGCTATTACATGCAAAAAAAATTCACTGGAAATCTCCATAAAGTAACTATCATGATATTATCCCTTTACTTAAAGTCAATACTCAGTTAAAAGAATAGCAATGTCAAAGACAGAACAAAATTTTGACAATATAAAGACAATGAGATAAGAGAACAAAGTATAAATGTTGAGGCCAGAGGAAATAGGTTCACACTGAGCGTTTTCTGCCTTCTATGTTGGTCTCCGGGCTGACTTGTTTTCTTTCTGAGAGGATTCAATATGAGGCCACTTAAGAAAACAGAAACCAGCAGGTGTGATGGTACAGACCTATAATCTCAACTACGCAGAAAGGAGAGGCAAGAGGACTGTGAATTCAAAGCCAGCACAGGCAAAGTCAGTGAGATACTCTCTCAGAAGCAGAATAGAAAGCACAGGGCTCACTGCCTGGATCAAGTAGTAGGACATTCCCTTAGCATGTGTGAAGCCCTGGATTCTATATTCGGTACCATGAGGGTGTGAGGGGGAAACACAAGGACCACCCTAAATATTTCAAGATACAATACTGAAAACTGGGCAACAGTTGCTACCAAACCTGGGCTCACAGAATTATAGTGACAAGAAGTACTTCCCTCTAAGGTTGAAGAACAGGAGGAGGCTTAGGTTCTCAGAGGCTAACCTGACAATTACTGATGAATGGGAATGCCAGAAACAAGAGCAAACTAGAAAGAGCAAGTACCTTGGCCTCTTCAACCTGTAGCTCATCTGTCTGGCACCTCACATTTCAAAGCCCAATAGAAAACTAGTGAAGAAGAAAAGTGTTTGGGAATGTCTTTATATAAAAAACAGGCTCTTAGAAATGTGGGTGTGAAGCTGAGGCAAAATTGGTAGACAACACACACTTTAAAGATGTAGAAAGAGCTTTCTTTTTCTTTCATCTTAATCTATATTAAGCCAGTTGGTTGCAGTTGGGGACAAAAGAAATCAGCAGAGTAATCCAAAGGAAGCCCAAGTTCTATCTAAGCTATGCTCCCCAAAACATTTTCTTACACCTTCAAGATGCAGAGTAAGGCATTGCTGTTAAGTGTCCTATGAGAAATGGACTGCTGGGAAGCCATGTGCTGACTTGCTTAAAACAATAAGCTTTTCTAAGCCCTAAGGACAACATACTCTGGGAGCATGATCTGGATGCTTATCAAACAAGTTCCTGGGCTGTTCTCTGAAGTTTCTGGGCAAGTACAAACAACAGAGTCAAATAAATGCCTTTAAAAGCAAGGCAGTGGAGCACGTACCCTGTCAGTGAGATCCTCATATTCCCACAGAGTAAACAGTAACATGAGAATATTTATATGAAACAAAACTGTATATCAAGCCTGCTTTGGCTCAGCCAGAGGGAATGATAAATTTCTTGCAGATCTCTCATAGAGTGGTCTTTTGTTGACCACGGACGCCACTTTCAAGACAGTACAAACCAATTACAGAGCAAGGCTTTTCATTATATCAAGGAATGAAAATACTCCTCCCCCCATTTTGTTTTATTTCACAGTTCTGTTTTACTTACTCCCCGGTCCTTTTGTTGAAATAGTTTTAATTTATCATGAGTCAAAGTCCAAATTTAGGTTAGAAACAAATGGTAACTCCCCATCAACATCTACACCCACACATACCAACAAACCTTATGACCCCGATAGTCTAGCTTATTGCTTCCCTTATCCCTCTTTTAGAAAGTCAAAGCTGCAGTTTAAAGTTGGGTAGAATAAAAACACTGACTTGTTGACAAAAGGTAAATTCTATTTGTCCACATGGCTTTGGGCCTGTTCACATTTGGCACAACTCACGGGCAAAGTCAACTAGGAGAAGCTGGTGGAGAAGTGAGCTATGATACCACATACAATCCAATGCTCAGTCTGTGCTAATATTTTTAAAAACTACTAAAGAAATGTTCACACAAAGTTGCTCTGTTTCTAAAGAGGCCAGTCTGAGGAAAGGTTAGTATTCGTATATATTAGTTAATTTTATTACATTTTCTAAATGCAATGGGATCATCCTTCTTAGTTGTTATGGAGATAGCACTGCTGCTTCCACCAGCTTACACATGGAAAGAGCTGAAAATACTGTATCCGTCCATGGGGAAACGTTAGAAATTTGCAGCGGTTCAGATTCCGTAAAGAAGCAAGATGGAGCATGTGAGAAGGAGAAGAAAGACAAGGAAAGGAAAAGGTAAAAAGGAATGATTTATAACAGAATAGCAATTTACCTTTTTTTTTTTTTTGGTTGGTCCCAGGGCTTGAACTCTAGGCTTGGGTACTGTCCCTGAGCTTCTTTGGCTCAAGGTGAGTGCTCTACCACTTGAGCCACAGTGATACATTTGGCTTTTTTGAATAGTTTGTTGGAAATATGAGTCTCATGGACTTTCCTGCCCAGGATGGCTTCAAACAACACTCCTCAGATCTTGGCCTCCTGAGTAGCTAGGATTACAGACATGAGGTAATTTCTTTAATAGAAAGTTGGGTCGAAGGCCAAATTTTGATAGTGTGAAGTTAGTAAAGCTATTTTATTCATATGCTTATTTTTTATATTTCCTTGATTTTTGTGGGTGGGGTAAATACATGTGTTTTTTTAAAAAAGTGTTTAACTCATTTTTAAACATATAATTCAGTATCATGAAGCATATTCATATTGTTGTGCAGCAGTCACCACCAGAACCACCATCCATCTCCAGAACATTTTTCTTTTTCTTTTTTATAGTTGATTTCTTTGTTGTTTTCTTTGATTTCGTTGTTACTTTTAAGTTTTTTGTATGTTTTTTATTGTAAAAATGATGTACAGAGGGGTTACAGTTACATGAGCAAGGTAAC